GGAGATGAAAAGATTTTGACCTGCAGTCCAAGCTGTAATTTCTTATGACGTCAGAGAATCTTTTCAGAGCATGTCCAGTGTTTACAGAATGCTATAAACATAAAGATTTTTTTATAAACACCTGAAAACATTTAATTTGCTTTTAAACAAAAATGAAGTCATATTTTTTTATTGGTTCCATGACCATGAGACGAATTTTCCATTTTTAGGATGTGCGTGGGATCCAGAGAACGTCATAATTGTTAGATGTGGCTTCAGCTTGTAATTTTCAAAAGGCAACTTTAATGGGGCATACATTCAAGTGCTCCCACAGAATTAAATAAAAGTTCTTCTTTGGGTAGTTCCAGTGGAGCGAGTCCTGGGAGAGAGATGTGCTGTGTACCCAGCCACCATCCCACCCGGTAATTAAAGATGCTGGTGAGCTTTCAAGTGGGGCCAAGTGGACATGCTGACCTGGGAAGGCGACAACTCCCACCAACTCCCGAGGGACAGGAGTGCTGTACAGCAGGGGAAGAGTGAAAGAAAGTCACTAGAAGGGGCGCGAAGCTGGCAGTGGGCTAACGCACAGCGTGGCCCCAGCACACGCTGGCCAGGGGACCTCAGAGCCATCGTGGCTGCACCGCGGTGCACATTGACCGGCTGTGCGCCGTCTTCTGCCCCTCACTGCCAGGTCCGGTGTCCTAAGTTGTGACATATATTCATGTGCTCTTTCCCCATCAGATTTTGACAGTCTTGGTTTTTTTCTGTGAAAGTGAGAACGAACCTGGCCCCTCTGAACAGTAACACACACGTCCTTTCTCGCGTTGCGGCAGCGCTGGCGTCATCCGGGTTCTCATCAGCCTCTTCCTCCTTCCCCGGGAAGACTGGGGTGCGAGGTGCGCGGGAAATCATCTGCGCAGAGTGAGCAGCTTATTCTCGTCCATATTCCTATTAATAACCTTGTACTTGGTGCTCTGCTCGTCTCATGTCTTTGTAAAGACTGTTTCATACAGTCTTTTAAGCAGGACACTGCCACTGACCTCTCTGGAATACCAGAGGCTGTTCCCTTCCCGACAGGACTGTCCCAGGGAGAAGTAAACAATTGCTCATTTAAGGCACAGACTGTACGCAGCCATTTGTGTCCCATCGAACTGTTGTCGCTGAGCCCACACTGAGAGAGTGTTTCCATTGTGGCATTTTCACTTTTTAAAAATTTTGCGAGATGTCCCCAGTCAGATTGATCTGACAGTCCCTCTTAAGTGGATCGTCCTCATTGATTCTTATGTTGACTCTAAACACGTCCTCTGTTCTGTAACAGTGTGGGAGGCCTCTATTCATTTTAATTTTCTGGGTATAAGCTGATATGTCTAAAATATTTACCCAAATACACTACAAGTGATGATCTTCAAGAGCTGTCCTTTTTGTTTTATTTTTTGCTCTTTAGAAAATGCCATTTTGGAGAGCATTGCCGGGAAGACCTTATAGTGCACAAAATCCTATAAATAGAATGTTTGACTCACAGACTGCTCTGGTCTACGCAGTGAATTACAAATGGTTGTCTAAACTACAGAGTCACAGATCTTCTAAAACCATTTGTGTGGCAGTGTCCTATCTGGGGACCCTAGGAACCCTGGGTGAACCAGTGAACCACACAGGGAACCACAGGGATCACTGTGTCCCATCTGTCTCCTTTCCTAAGACTCTGGTGAAAGGGTATCATAAAAGGAGCTCTTTTGTGAACAGTGGCTGCAGCCAGATTTCACTGCAATACTGATGAATTTGTTCACCCATAGGCAGGGATGCCCCACAGGGTATAGGGGCTGGGTTGTCAGATGGGCTGGTAGCATGTATTCATTATTGGGAGGCTGGAAGTCCATCATAAATAAAATTCCTTGACTGAAGCACTCTGTGCTGTTCGTGTTTGAGAAAAATATGACTTAAAGGGTGAATCGAATGCCCTGTTGACTGGGCCTAAGTCCAGCACGTGCTTGGAAAAAAAACTAATGTATCTATAGAGAAGTAAGTTGGAGTGACTGACTCTGCCTCAGACAGGCCGAACTGTGAACAAGAAAATGGAAGCTGACCCCAGGCATCCAGAAGTCTTCATTTCCCCTCTCGGTGGTACTCAGGAGAGAGTGATTTGCACACTGTGTGATGGTATGGCGTCTAAGCGCTGGCCACATTCATATGTGAATCCTCATAATACCACTTAGAATCGTCATACCTAGGAAGTGATAAAAATATTAGTCTGGAAATGATTATTTACTTTTCAAAATAACTGTTCTATAAAAAGATTCACTCAGGACTCTGCTAATTAATGAGGTCTAGAGTGTTTTTGTATGTAACATTCTGAGTCAGTTCCTGTGGAGATATTTTCTTCACTCACATTTTTGTACTATAGAAAGCACTTGGCACTCTTCCCTGCTGGCACATTCCAAATAAATAGTGGCAATAATTTGATAAAGGACGGATTCCAATTTAGGGTTAGGTAGTAACTTTTTAAAAGTTTTTTTTTTCCTCTCTCTCTGTCCTTCCTTGACTAAGGGATGGAGAAAGGAAGTTCCAGGTTCATAAAGCCTCTCCAAAG